GTTTTTGCCTGTTCTAGAAGGTCTTACAGTATGTGTTCTCTGCATCTAGCTGCTTTTGCTCAGCATAATGTTTTTGAGATTTTTTGGTATTTCTTCCCTTTTATTGCTGGCTAGTATCTCTCCCCGCCCCCCCCATATCCCAGCTCTTAAAATAACATTTCTTCATAACTGTCACTTTTTTTTTTTTAAAGATTTTTATTGGGGAATTGGGGGATGGGAACAGCGCTGGGGAATTGGGGGAAGGGGAACAGACAAGTTGCTGTCGTTTTGTTCTTCAGTCTAGTTGTGGAGGACGTTGCTTCACTGGCTCAAGTTGGCACCATCATTGCACTCTTCCTGGGCGAGGCAGATCAATCGCCGGCTTCTGGACGGCCGCTCACTGCGGCTGCTGGCCGCTCACGCTGGCTGCTGGCTACACACAGTAGCCCATGGCAACCCACTGCCACAGGGGCTGCAGCCTACGCCGTCCCCGGCGACTCACAGCATCCCAGCTCCAGGTTGAGCTGTTGTTCACCATCTTAGCTGTAGAGGGCAGTGTCACTGGCCCTCATATGTGGGATCCGAACCGGGGCCCTCTGGCCTCCCAAGCCAGTTCTTAACCATCGCGCCACTCTGCTGGCCCATATAACTGTGACTTTCTAATAAAAAAAAAACCCAAAAACTGAAGCCTCAGGGAAGTTTAGTATTAAACCTTCTTATGGCTTCTTATGTGTGCAGCTTTGGGTAACTAACTCAGCGTAGAGAATAATTTTGGTGACAGCCTGATACCCTCCCCCCTCCCCCAGTGCTACCTTCCGTCTCATTTTCCCTTCATGTCCTAAGCACAGGTGGGAAGTGAGCTGGTGACGTTTTGTGTATCCTGGTGTGAAATGCCATAGTCTTCTTTCCAGTCAGGAGTCTGCCAAGCTTTATTGCTACTCTGGACTAGAGTTTATCCCCACTCTCGTGATCAAGAGCCTAGTTGAGTGTTGTATGACGTACAATTTGTTTTTAACTGTTTCCATAGTAACCATTACACACAGAGGAAAAAGCTGAGATTTGTCAGAACCAAGGTGATATGAGTAGAATGTCCGAAATCAAATTCTAACCTTTTTAACTAAGATTTTAAAATGTAATGGATTTAACAGCTAGAGTTCTGAACCCAGAGATCAAAAACTCCACGAGGATCTGGGAATGGCCTGGAGAAATGCTTTAAAAAAAAAATAAATAAAATCACAAATGCCAATAAAAATCAGCACTGCCCTACCTCATCCTATCCCAGCCGCAATTCCAACACTTCAGAGGCACTGACTTTTTCAGTTCTTTTATTTTCGGATATCTCTATGACTATATTTCTAAGTAATGTGTTTGTACTATTTTTCTTGAGTTTTGTGTTTTTGGCACTAGGTGTGAACTTCCAGCTGTGGAAGGTGAGGATCCCGACACTTTCCCACTCTGTCTCCCACTCCCCCACGTCCTGTCCCCTCCCCTTCTCTACATAGCTGGCATCCTACAGTAAGTAGTTCATGGTTAAGCTGATAGTGCTCACTGCTATAACTGTGTGCGTCTTTACAGCTAAGCCATCCGGCATACTGTTTTTGTTTGTGTAATGTTGTTGTTTTCCTTGGAGACAGTAATTAAATAATGCTGTTGCCTTTCTTCTGCCTTGGAGCACCCCCAGCCCCCTTTTCCTGGACCTTGGGTTTCTTCTGTTTTGTGCTTGTATTGATGGAGCGTACTCTGCAGTAGCTTGCCGAAATATGGTGCATATAAGATTATTTTTTTGAGAGTGTCCTGATTGACAATCTTTTGTCTGGGTCCTGTTCACTGCCCCTAAAAAGCTTTTAAGAAATTGTCTCTTTATTCCTTGTGTTCTTACATTTTAGGATAATGTGCCCTGGCTTGGGTCTTTTTTTCATTCCATTGTCTGAACACTTGGTGTGCCTTCTCAATCTGAGAACTCATGTCTATTGTTCTGGGTAATTTTTTTATTTTATTGGTATTTTTCTCCACTTCACATTTTTCCTTTTTCTTCCCCTGGAACTCCTATTTGGCAAGTATTAGACCTCTTGGATCAATCCCCTCATTTTCTTCTATCTTCTTTTTACCTATATCTTATTTTTTTAATGTTTTATTTTTTTGATATTTATTTATTTATTTTTAAAGTTTTTTTTTTATTGGGGAATTGGGGGAGGGGAACAGTGCTGGGTGATTGGGGGAAGGGGAACAGACAAGTTGCTGTCTTTTTGTTCTTCAGTCTAGTTGTGGAGGACGTTGCTTCACTGGCCCACGTTGTTATTATCATTGCGCTCTTCCCTGGGTGAGGCAGATCGGTTGCCGGCCATTGGACGGCCGCTCACAGCTGCTCTGGGTAGCTCACACTGGCTGCCAGCTGCTCACGCTGGCTGCCAGCCACACACGGTAGCCTATGGCAGCCCACTGCAGCAGGGGCTGCAGCCTACGCTGTCGCCGGCGACTCATAGCAGCCCAGCTCCAGGTTGAGCTGTTGTTCACCATCTTAGCTGTAGAGGGCAGTGTCACTGGCCCTCATGTGGGATCCGAACCGGGGTCCTGCTGCTCAGAGCTGGTGTCCCAAGCCAGCTCTTAACCAACACACCACTCAGCCGGCCCTTTTTGGATATTTATTGAACGGTATCTTCTAGCCTTTGTATTGGATTTTTTAAATCATATTTTTAATTTTGAAGGGTTGTTTTTCACTGAGATTTTTTTTATAGCATCCTGTTCTTGTTTCTTTGATGGAGTATCTTCTATTTTTTCTAAAGATATTAATTATAGTTTTAATTTTAAAACTGTTTCCTGCATAGTTTGTTCCCCTTCTCCCCTCCAGAACATTTTTCTTTGTTTTGACTTCTGTTTTTCCATATTGCAGGCTTTCCTTGACTGTCTGGCGATCCTTGGCTCACTATTTGTATATAAGAGGGAGGCACTACAAAACTGATTGGAAGCTCAGAGCACGTTATGGGGCTCCTCTAATGATGTTTGGACAGGGACCCAGCAGTTACCTTGGTGAAACCTCAGATGTCACTATCTATAGGACATTTCACTTGGTCACTTTTACCAGGGGAAAGCCATAATTTTCCTGTGTTGGGTCTAAAAGTCAAGCTGAGTGTTAGTGGAGCCAACCTTGGAAGGTAGGCGGTGGGCCCGAGGGGACTGAGCATCTTACTGTTTGTTCCATGGGCACCCTGGGACTCTATCCTCCTGTGTTCTATCCAGTGCCTTGTAACCCTCCCTTCAGCCGTTTCTGGCATTTCCAGGTCCAGGTCCTTTCTGATTCAGTTTCTTCAGATCACAAACCTCCTATTTGGTCATTGTTGGGGAGAGGGACTAGCCTGTCAAAATACTCCTTATAGAAAGTTTTAATCCCTAAGTTTTCTTGGTGTCTACTTGTCAGTGTTAGCAAACCCCACTCCAGGCTAAGATTTTCCAGGTTCCTCTGCCTTGCTCATTTAGTGCCCACCATCCATCACTGTGCCACCTTCCAAAGTTTTGTTGCCATCTCTTATTTGCTCTTCTCTCTCTTCTCTTTTCTTGGTGTTTTATGCTTAAAAAACATTCTTTTGCTATCAATTTGTTGGGACTGCAGGAAGAAGTACAGGTAATTAGGACCATCTTCAACAGATTTTCAAAGGGGTCTCTGATGCCTACTGCCCCACCCCCCCAAAAAAATCCAAATCTGATAATCATTCCATTAAGCCCCATCAAGGCTCTTTTTACATTGGAGAGTTTCATAAAAATATTGTCCTAAAGTTGTAGGAATAGATGAGATGCTTTCTCAAGAAACCTAATCTTAGCATTCTATCCTTATATTTTCCATGTTTGTTGGGAACATGTTGAAATTTAGCTTTGTAAATCACCAGAAATAAAGCATCAGTATGTGCACCACCATACCAAACCTTGTAGAAGAGGAAGACAGATTTTCAGTTATCAGAAACATTGTAGACTTTCTGGAGTGACGGAAATGACCTATAGTTGTACGTTGACAGTTTGGATTATACAGGTGTATGCTTTGCTAAAACTCATCCAGTGGTATGCTGGAAATGTATTCACGTATAAATATTACCTCCCCCCGCATAAGACTGTAAACAAATAATAAATTCTAATTTAAATAAAAATACATGTAAGGAATGTCAACATGAAAGTAGTTCTGTGAATTGTAAAAGGCATTTTTCACAGTTTATTTTATTTTGACTTTTTATTTTTCCATGTTGTAAAAATTTTTTAAATTTAATTAGGGTGAAAATGCAGATGTACTTGCTCATCATGTACATTGTGACTCCCCCTTCTTGCTCCCATCTTCCTCCTGTTTTGTTAAGTTGTGACTGTGTTGGTCACTAAATTGTGTAGATCTGTGAAAAATGCTTGCGATTGTCTTATTTAAAATCTAAAAATCAGAATACATGAAGAAAAAATCCTTGGTGTGTCCTAACTCCTTTTATTTTGAGATTATCGCTGGATGTGTGTTCTCTTTTCTGGAAATTGACCTTATTTTCCTTTTCGTCAGTGTAGATGAATGCCCAGTTCCTTGGTTGTAAAGTTTATCTGAAGTTCTTGATCTAGAAAGATGGACCAAGTGACCTATGAGCTGAATAGGAAATATGCAAGAAAGAATGGGGAAGACATAGTAGCATGGACTCTCACAGCAGTCATTCCCTTTTTAGATCTATTGTTAATAACATCAGCGTGGTACGTCCTAGTTTTAGAGTGCTTTATATCCAAAGTAATTTTTTTCTAGTTCATCCAAGGGTGTGTTAGGAGTCGTTTTCTCATTTCACAGGAGACAAAATACAGACAGAGAGGTGGAGATGTACCCAAGTGAGTCAATGTCAGAACCAGGATTAGAATTTTCAAAGCAGACGAAGCAGGGGGCATAAGTGGGAGTGGGAATGAGAACCTGTTATGAATACTTACAGTAGCACCAGTGAAGAGGACTGAGTAGCTTGTGGGTGCAGGCCAGCACGGCTCGGGACTCATCCAGGACTGACTCTGTTCTGCTGTAGGTCAAGGAGAACCTGCTTTCCTGCAAGATGCTGTTGCACTGCAAACGGGATGAGCTTCGGAAATTGTGGATTGAAGGCATTGAGCATAAGCATGTCCTGAACCTACTGGATGAAATTGAGAATATCAAGCAAGTGCCCCAGAAGCTGGAGCAGTGCATGGCCAACAAGCACTACCTCAGTGCCACCGACATGCTGGTAAGAGACAGGCCTGCGCCCATGGCAGTTTCTGCCGACATCAAAGTGTTCCTTTAGTTCTCCTTGAATTCTGTAACTCACATTGCATGTTACAAGCTGCCCTCATGGGATTCATGAGCCTTTCCAGGGTGAAGCCTGGTGGCTTCTCTTCCTAATTCCAGTGTTTGGAGCGGCAGGCCATTATTACTGATGTATTGTCTGCCTTTGGAACAATGGCAGGAAGTACAATGGCAAGAAATCAGGACTTTAATCATGTTGGTATAGTCATGAGAGGTGTCTTAGCCTCAGAGGAAGATAGTTCATGAATCCCGTTTTAAAGAATGACATCTGCATGAACGAGAACTTCAGGAGATGAATAAGCTAGATGTTCCGTGAATTCTTTGAAAGAATTTTTGCGTCCGGGCCATGTTTTTTTCCTTGACATTGATGAGAAAGAAAATGATTTGGGGGAAATAATTCTGCAAGTAACTTGGTCAAGTAAGAGTACTCCTCAATCTAGCCTTTAGCCTCAGTCTGTTCTGCTTTTTGAATTAGAAATTCAGAGACGGTTGCAGCTGACGGTGCAAGTGGCCGAGCGTCAGGAAGCTGAATAAAAAATAAAAATGCACATCTCGCTGTCTGATAACCCCAACTTTCCCAGGGCCTGGGGCTCTCGGAGACAGCCACCTCCCAACTTCACTTGAGCACCCCACTTCCATCTCACGCAGAGTTGTCTCAGGAGCGGACGGGCTGTATTTGGCTTTTCTTTTCCACGATAGGGCCAAGTCCCTTATCTTGTTTCACCCAATTAGACTGGCTACAGCCAATCTGGAGAAAAGGCTGAGAGGATTGGTGGGAGGAGACGGCTACATCCTCTCAGTGCTTCTCATGCATTTCGACTTTCAAGAAGAATTTTGCCGTCAGTCCTTCATAAGAAGCTTTTAAGGAAATTTGGTAACCTGGAGGTGAGATGTGCCATGATATTCTATTATATATCAAGGCCTGGTCGTGTGATGGGAGTGAAGAGTCAGTGGAAGGAGGTTAATAATGACCTCTTCTTGGGAATTGGCTACTTTCAGTGTCTTGTTCATAGTGACATCTTCTTAATAGTGATCATAGGGTGTCTAAGAAAAAAATAGTCGCCTTTCAGCTTTGGTCTTGGTTTATACATTAGGAATGCATATATGTGCTAAATTATCAAGATTCAGTGATCAGTGATAGCTAAGCATACAGCAAAACTTTGGATTGCGAGTAACTTGGTTTGCAAGTGTTCTGGAAGACGAGCAAATATTTCTAATACATTTTAACGTGGTAAATGACCGATGTCTTGCAATACAACTAGTTTGTTTCTGGAACGAATTATGCTCGCAAACCAAAGTAATACAGTATTTCGCATATGAGCATATATATATATGGCATGTAGACATCTGAATCACGATTTTTTGTAGTGGCCCTGCTTTTAAATAAGTGCCATAAGTTAAAAATGGGTTGTTAGATTTTACTTCTGTGTTAGTTACGTTCCTTTTAGCATTTTTGTTTTATGGTCTTATTACTTAAGGGCTAGTTATTTACTTAAGAGCTAATTGATAAGGAATACTGTCCTTGTTTTGACCCATTTTCTTAAGGATCTCATTAAATAGTTCTTTAAATTCTTGGTTGCAAGTTACAGAAATCCAGCTGTAGCTAGCTCAAGTGAAATCGCTTTACTCATGCAACCAATCTGCTGAAAGGACAGGCATACATATGGAATGCCACCCGTGTGTTCTTTCGCCTTTTTCTTCATTGTTCTACTGTGGATGTTCCTTCCACATGTGTGCAGGAGAAGAAGGGGTGGAGGCTGTAACCTACATCTCTTCAGCTTTGCAGAGGAAGATAATCTCTTTTTCTAATTCAGAAATACAGGGGTGGGATCTAGATTGGGCCAGCTTGGGCACTGCGATTGTCAGTCCCAAAACTCTGTGGTTGGGGGGTGTGGGGAGCCCGGGAAGTGGGGTGGGAAGGGAGAGCAGTCACCTTCAGAAAAGGGTGAGTATATGACATACACTTCCCAGAAGTTCCTTTTTTCTATTCGTAGTTCTTTATATATTCTGGATACTAATCCTATGTCTGTTGGATGGATTGTAAATATGTTCTCCCAGTTGGTGGTATATCTTTTTACTTGGTTTATGATGTCTTTTGTTATAAAGAAGTTTTAAAATTTAATGCAATAAAATTTCTTTTTCTTTTTCCTTTATGTTATATGATTTTTATTTTAAGAAATCTTTTTTCTAGTCCAGCGTCATAAGGAGAATCTCCTGTGTCATCATCGTTAGTCCATTTAGAATCTGTTTTCATATATGGTATGAACTGGGGATCTAATGTTATCTTTTCTGTAAGTAGCCACTTGGCTCAGACCGTTTATTGAATCCACTTCCTACGGATTGAATGCCATCTTGGTCACATACCAAGTTTTCACATATGCATGGGTCTGTTTCTCAGCTCTTTATTTTGTTTAGTTTGTCTCATCTGTATCTGCACCAAAGCCATACTGTTCTAATTACTATAATTTTATGACACATCTTGATAGCAGGTGAAGACATTCCCTCACCTTGCAATTCAGGATTATCTGTGCTATTCTTGGGCCTTTACTCTTCCATATGAATTTTAGAATCAGCTGTCAAGTTCCACAAAAAATGTGATGGGATTTTCATTAAATTTGAGAGAACTTCATCTTTGTAATATTAAGTCTTTCAGTGAGTAGGGTATGTCTCTCATTTATTGAAGTCTTCAGTTATGTCCTTTACAATAATGCTTAGTAATGCATTTCTTAGAGATACTGTATTACATATATTTTGTTTTATTTCTGAGTAGCATACTTTTTGTTTTTTAAAAATAATGGGTTTGTTAATTATAATATCTAGTTATTTGTTGCTGATGTATACGGATGCAATAGATTTTTCTCTTTGAATTGATCATATATTTCCCTGAAACAAATTCTAATCCTGTTCACCTGGAAAATTATGATTTATTGTTTAAGACTTGGTTCAAATTTCATCAAGTCTCTGAATGTCCCAGGTAATTAGGTACTTTAAAAAAAAATATTGTGTGTATTTGTACACTAAACATGAGTAGATGCTTTTCTTTGTTTCCATAAGCTGCACGTATTTCCTTGTAACATTGCTTTTGTTTGTATGGTTGGTCACTGAGGGCCAGGGCTCTATCTTACCTATTTTTGTCCTGTACTTAGCATAATGTACCTCCTGTAGTTAGAGTTCGCAGATCATTAGCCAAATGGGTAACTGCGTGAAAGACTTTCATGCCACTAAACAGAAAAGGCGATGATTTCTTTCTAGGAGCTCTGGTCTGAATTTTCTCCTCCTTTTTTTTGTTTTGTTTTGTTTTTGTCCTTTTTAAAAATTTTTAATGGCAAGGTTCTCTAATTTCTAATCTTTCTTTTTTGCAATATTTAAATGAACAACAAAAATAGTAATTGTCATAATATGTATTGAGCATCACTGTGTTTTGGCACCATTTTAAGTATGGTAACTTTTATTAACACATTTAATTCTCTCAACAACCCTGTGAGAAATAGGCTTCTGATATCATCCCCATTTTTCCAGATGAGGAAGTTGCTTTGTGTGATTTGGGGAGTTGGCATATCCTAATACACGATGAAGATTTAATGGAGGTAGGATTTAAGGTGTGCTTAAAAGGTCGGAAATAGTCTTCAATTTGGCCTTTTGTCTGTAAGACTGAATAGTACCGTCTATAATTGCTCTTTCATTGGACTTCATATGAAAAACTAATCACATTTCCTCTCCCCATGGTTATGTGCTATTAGAAGTAAAATCTACTTAAGGCATCTGCAGGGTCCAAATAGAAACCTCTGCTGAAAGAAGTCAGAGGGAAGTGAAGACAAAATAATCCAGTCTTTCAAAACCCTCTGATTTCCTTGGATTCATTTAACGAAAGATTTTGCATTTTTATTTCAAGGCAGATGCCCGGTAATTTAATCCCTACTCAGGTTAATAAATCCAGAGTAAATAAATCAGTGGTGACCCATGGCTCTTGTCAGCTTCTGCAATTCCTGCTTCCCCATTGGACTGGTCTGATAGCATCAGACTTGGCTCCTAGATGGGATATTTATTTCTCCTTGTGATATAATAACCTGAGTATTGCATCAAATAATTAAATTGGCATGACAGGGACTGTCTGCACAGAGGCATGGCCTTTTGTTTGCTTCGTCAAGGTAAACAGCTGCGGTTTGCTTACAAAAAGCTCAACGCCATCCACCAAGAAGCCTGTATCTGTCACGTTGGAATCAGAGACTTGATTTATATTGTAGCCTGTAGCTTCGTGATAGGTACGGTTTAAATTAGACCTTCGCAGTCATTGTGCTGGGTGGATGCAAGCACATTAATGACATAATTTCTCGTTGCTGCATCACATTTCTGCAGTCTGTCCTTTGTATTCCACTCACATTAATTGAAGTAATTTTGCCAGTGAAGCGTGTTTCAAACCTCTGCATTTAAATTGAAATTTTAATTCCCTTATTGTCTTGAAAAGACGGCTGGAGATG